ACAAGGGTGATTCACTTGCCCAACCTCGGTCCCCGCCTCATACCAAAGAGTAAAAAATATGCTCCAAAGATGATTATGGCCACCTTATATAAAACTCTTAGCCGCTCTTTTAGGCAACCTCCCAAATGGTATTGGTAAGGACTAAGGCCTCTATAGTAGCCTATGAGAACATGAGACTGGGTTTCGAGGCACTCATCATCGCTACCAGCGCTTGAAGGAGATATGAAGTAAACATACACTGACAACTGGAGAGACAGGAGCCACCCACTGCCATCGGCTACCAGTGGCACTCCAATGTGAGTCTTCGTGACTTGCAAGGCAGGTGGCGCGGATGGGCAAAGGTTGGCGGGCGACCAGCGAATGCTCGATAACTTCCTCAGCCACAACGAAAGGGTAGTTCTCTAACTTAGGGTCCCTGTTTAGATCCCCCAAGTAGTACGGTGCCCACCTTAAAAGGGACCCTATTTAGAGGACTGCCCAAAAGGACACAAGGTCCGTGTCTTTTCAACATTGCGGGGTGGCTGGGGCGGAAGCCGATGCGTGGCTTGGTGTGGTTTTTCATGCAGCCGGCACATCGCAAAAATGACCTTTGAACTTTTCTCAAATCCTGCAAAAATTACCTTAAGTTTTCTTCTGGCTACACGGCTACACACTGTGAATTCCTGCACACTTGCGGAAGCTGTGTGGAATAGAAATCCAAAGTACCCGACAGTTCGCGGCTCTTGCCAACTGGAACCATTGAGCCCCGAATCCAAGCAGCACTCTACTCCAACGGCTTCTAGCGAGATCTTCTTCGTCAATGACGAGCATGCGCAGATCTACAAGCAGTGCAACGAAAAGCTCCTCAATGCTTTGACTTTAGCCGGTAGTGCACATGAACACACAGACATCTTCTAGCTTCTCGAAAAGAGTACTATGATTGCTATTGGGGCACACTGCTAGCGGCCACGATGGGGATTATCACTAGGAAGACGACAACCTGCCGAATACTACCTACACCCATCATGCTGGGAAATGCGCATGCTCCTTCCTGTCGCTATTGCCGTACTGATGCTCTTGCAATGATGCTGCAACTGATCGTGCACTTTGCGTGCGCATGTGCGGGACGAAAGGCAGAAGTCTACCAGGAAGAATATGAGACTGACCGTCTTGCCTCAACCCAAGCTTTGAAACCCCCTTTCCTTGCATAGAGGGTATGCTTTAGGGTCTGAAGGGGGGCGAACCTCCGACTGCCAGACTGCGGCAACCAGGCTGTCCCAGAGGGCTGCCATGTGGCCGTCAGGCCCCATTCCACTGGTTGACGATCCGCAAAAACCTCAAGGAGAGCTTCAGTCGATGATGATGCTCTCAATGGCTCGTATACATCTTGCTTGCGTGTTTGGGGTTTGAAGACTGTTGGACTTGGGGTGTCCAGACTAGCTCCAGAACAGCGCGGTGCGGAGCTACTTGGGCCGCTTGCTTGAACATCCAGAAGTACCAGAAACACCACGAACATCCTGCGAAGCCTGAAACTGTAAAGTTTATGAATCCTGCGTGAAAAGCTCACGATCTCACAAAGCACAACTTGAAGCTCAAACTTGACCCTGAGCTTCCCCCAAGCTCAGTAGAGACATGCGGCACAGTAGCTTGTTGCTTTGCGGCTTGCTTTTGGGAGGAGGGTTTGGGGTTCCTCAAGCAAACCCCAGCTCAATTCACACCCAAAGGGTAGCTCTAAATCAAGATCCTTTTGAAGGTCCTTTCTTGAATAAAAGTGCCGTACAATATTGGGAACCTAAAAAGGCCCTCGGTCGAAAGAGAGCGCCGGCCTCAAAAGCCGGGATCGCCAGGGCGATGCTTACGAGTGAGGCGATGTGCCGGCGATGGCTCTCCCTGGCAGCTCAGGGGAACTTCGGATTTGGGGATGCAAGCAGTCACTGCGGACGATCCGACCGGATGCACGGGCTTTACGGGCTTCGGCACTCACACTCGGACCTTTGCGGGGGTCGTTTTCTTCTTATTCTTCTTCTTCTTCTTCTCGCTTTGCGGGTTTAGGGTTTAGAACTTGAGGGAATTGCGGCTTGGGGTGTTTAAGGTCTTAGAGCGCGTAAGATCAAGTGAGATCAAGCGTTGGTGATTGGGCTTCCAGGGAGGGTTAGATTGAGTTCCGCGTGGAAGCCCACTTCTAATGTGTTGCAGGCATCGAAGACGCAGAAGGAGAGATACCAAAGCGAGCATCACAGGTGTTCATCCTCATCGGTTGTGCCGCAATGCGACTGTATTCTTCTCTGTGCATAACCCGGAAATCTCGTTCTCGAAAAAGCAAAGCACCCACATCACGCATGTGTATGTGTATGTGTATGTGTATGTGTATGTGTATGTATGTATGTATGTATGTATGTATGTATATATATGTATGATGTAATACATGGACATATGTGGCGGTGTTCTTATCTGATTCGATGTATGAGCCGGCGCTTCTCCTCCACCCAACAGGCCGTGGCTATTTTAGTTATTAAGGCCCTTACATTAACCTCCGTCCTAGGCAATGTAGGGTGTTGCAAACAGGCCACGTTGCCTGTTGAAAACAGTTTAAATCAAGCAGAGAGGTCCATGGACTCTTCAAGAAGCAAATTGACATCATGGGCCCTTCCACGGGGGCCGGATGGTTGGGGGAGTTAGAAACTGTCGGCCCTTTCCCCTCAGACAAGAGCCCCTAAAGCCTCACTAACCCCCCCCCCACCCCCAAGAAATATAAACCCTAAACCGTCAAGCAAGGACCATGAAGCCCATGCTGCCTGCTGAGTATACTGAGTGTTCTGTTGAAGGATAACCTTTTCACAAACGTAACCTCATCAGCTTGTTGCATCCATTGTGGGACCTACAAAGGAGACTCACTAGGTAACCCAAGGCCCTGCAGGGCGCGAGCTGAAGGGATCGGTCTCGGCCTTGTCAGCAAGCAGCTGTCTGCATCCAAGGGGTTGGGAAGCTTCTTCGGCATGCGCTGGATGGCCTGCGACCACGCGAAACGGGAAGTGTCGGACACTCATAGACTAGAAGATGCTTGCAGCTACCCCCTTGCAATAGTGCAGTAAGGCTACAAGATCGGGAACCCAGCAAAAGGCCTCATGCAGGACGTCATCCACGCTGCCCTGCGACTTGCCTGAGCACTGGTGCAAAAGGCCCTAAAGCATAATCATATGTGTATATGTATGTATGTATGTATGTATGTATGTATGTACCTATATATATATATATATGTGTGTGTGTATAATATATATATATGCATTTATACATATATATATATGCTTAGCTTGGTCGGAGTGTTCGACTCGGCCATCTGTGCGGATTCTCACATAAGCCAGTTTTGGGTGGCGCCTTCTCATTTTGATGTTGTGCTGCTGTTGCTGCCGCTGTTGTGCCATCTTGGGTTTCAGAGTCGAGTCGTCATGGCCAGAGCACTCGTCTGTGAAACAACCTCAAGTTGTCCTCAACCTCCATCTTCGATATGAGATCCCCGTATTATTTTTAATGCAGACGGGACCTGACGCAGGAAATTCCCGGCTGTGGGGCCTGAGATTTTCGGCCGTCCTTCCGGCACAACAGTGTTCTGAACGGCGTAACCCTGCCACTGCCGTTGCTCAAGCACGGGGTGTGGAAGGCAAGGCAACACGATATCAGCAGAAGCTTCGAAGCCCTGCAGATCAAGAAAAATAGAACACACACTGAGCGCAGGGCAGAAGAGCAAGAGGCTCAAGAGGCCCCAAGAAGCACCAAGCACCTTCTTGCATCTCTGCTGCGCAGCTTTGCGGCTTGTGCAGCGCGCTCCATGGCCGCGTCGTGCGCCTCCGGGCATTGTTCTCACGCGTCAGTTATAAGGCTTCGAGGCATAGGCGACAGGCACTCATGATCATAACAACCCACGGCACCAACTAAAGCACCACAACAACAAACGCAAGAGAAAAGAGATCATGAGTTTCAGAGAAGTGTTCATGATGGGCTTACGTGAGTTCTCAAGGGCCGCTTTTGTCGGCCTCCCCGCCGATGCTAACTACCGCTGCCGATCGAAGCCGGATTTCTCGGCGGGTCCCCGTGGCCTCGGAGGCGGCTCGTTCTTGAGCTTTCCTAGGGGTTTTGCACGATCGTTTCGGTTTCCGGTCTTGCCTGGGCTATGTGACCACCACAAGTACTCTACCACTACTACCACCGCCACCATCGCTACGCCGTGGCGGTTCCTTGGTTGCGACGCCGGCCATGACATGTGTAACTGCAACAAGCGTAACCTGACGACGACGACGACGACGACGACGACGCATACAAATACAAAGAAGCACAACTGCTCGCCTAGATTCTACCCAGATTTTCCGACTAGCGTTTCATAATGGTTGGTGTGTGTAGGTGTGCGCCTCCAAGAAATGTCTGTTGGAACCAGAGCTCCCGAAATGTAGCGGGCTGCCTGGATTTCTGTCGGGAGCAGTACATTTGCTATGTAAACTGTCGCTATTTCGATAAAGAAGTGCTGCTCTTGATATCTCTTATAATTACGATTACCAATACCATTGCCGCTACATGCTGCTACCATCAACGGTTTATTCGGTTTCAAGTACCCCACAAAGAAGGGCTTTAAGGCCCCAAATTCCATACTCTGAATGGTTTGCAACCCTTGAAACCGTAATATTTGGGGCACTTGCACCCTTAAGTAAGGGAACCTGCTTAGCTGAAGGCTGCTCAGCAGCCAGATTGCGTTGGCACAAACGCTTGAAATCAATCTCGTATTGCCGGCCGCCACTTTTAACCTCCGCGCATCTTTGGGTTTACGCTCTCGCAACTCGGACTCCGTCCGTTTAGGTTTTTTCACTTCAGGGCATCTTAGGCTCTAGCCCTCGAGGTTCAAGGCTTTCGGCTCGTAGGGACGGTTTCACACCTCAGCTTGCCTGTCACGCTGTCAAGCTTCAGTTCGACGCGAGGAAGTTTATCCTAGCTCCCATGGCCAAAGTGCTGAACCCGAATCTTGAGCAACCGATCCACCTGAGTGTGAGGTAGTCCTGCCAGCTGCGCTGCTCGCAGAATCTCCTGTAAAAGAGCAGGCAACAAGTGCTTGCCTTGCAGAATTAGAATTCGCATCACATCAAACAACATTCATCATTCATCCGAAGCCGCCGCAGCCCGGCGTTGAAGGAGGGCTGGTTGAGGAATCGGCAATGCATGTGCATGCTGCCAGTATCGGATTTCGATGGTAAGGTTCGTCTTTCGGAGCTGCCGAAGCCAGACATGTGGTGACGGTCCAAACTCGAACAGCTAAAATGCAGCTAAACCCCCTAAGCTACTCTAAACACCAATACGCTAAAACCCCTAAACTCCAAGCCCTGAATCAAAGGCCTTCGAGTCTTCGCTCCCGCATCCTCTACCATCCCTAAACCCTAAACCCTAAACCCCTAAACCCCTAAACCCTAATCCCCAAACCCTAAACCCTAAACACCTAAACCCTAAAGCTTTACCATCCCAAGTCCCAAGGTCGCCTGGGCCGAATCCTCAAAAGGCTGCCAGTTGCCATCCTCAGCCTGGGCAGTCTACGATGCTTGGCGGCTTTATGGGCTTATGATAGGTGTATGGGGGGTTGTGGTTTATGTTTTTGGGTTAGGGGTTTAGGTTTATAGGGGTTATGGTTTAAGCTTTCGGGTTAAGGGTTTAGTGTTCAGCACTCACAACTGGGAACAAGCCTGGCGAAGTCCGTCAGTCGAGCTCGGACGGCCAGACACCCAAGAAGCCAGCGACCAGCGTGATAAGTTCCGAGAATCAGCGCTCCGAAGCGCGTGTCCATGAATCACTGGCTTTGGGTTTCGACTCTCACACTCGCACCAGGCAGGCAAGGCTCCATTCAATTCCATTAGACCACCCAAAGGGTCCCAACGTTCGCGGCTCTCTGCTTAACTGGGACATTACCCTGTTCTCCTCACACATTGGTTGCGAAGGTCGCCAAAAGCAATGTTCTTCTCCCAGCTGTGGCGACTACCACTGGTAGCATAACTGTTAGACTAGACACAGGTAGTCTAGTCGTAGTGGTATTCTAGCAGATATTCTGCCGGACCAGTCTGTCATTCTTCTCATGATGAGGAATGCAGCGGCAGTGGTAATGGCAGTGGCTACAGTACGTGAGGCGGCGGTAGCCGTAGCGGCGGTGGCGGCGGTGGTAATAGTAGCACTAGTAGCTTCCGGAGTCGCAGTAGCAGCAGTAGCAATAGTAACAGCAGAAGCCGTCGTGGGAGCAGGAGGCAGGGGGGCGGAGGACTATCGGAGGCCTCAAAAGGTGGGGTGAAGGTAGGTGGGATATTCCCCAATAAATGTCCTTATATAAGGGATCCATGATCCTACCCACCTTCATCCCACCTTTTGGGGCCTCCGAGACTAGTAGTAGAAAAACAAGTGCCTTTCTCTCAAAGTCCAGTCGACCGTGGGTCCTCAACGAAGCAGCAATACACGTGTGCACAACGTGTATAGGCGAGGATAAGCATACCCATAGGCTCCATAGTCGTTCCTTTTTGGGGTTTATATTTAGGATTCTATAAGGTAATTACGGTAATCCCAAAAAGGAACTACTATGGAGCCTATGGGTACAGTAGACTACCGATAAGGCAAGTGGCACGGACCTCCCATATCTCCTCTTCCTGAGCCGCCCTGGGTAACTCCACCTAAGCTTGCGGGCTTCCAGGCTTCAACATCTCTGGGCTGGGCTTCCGCTTACACCGGGTGTCACCTCAACCCTAACCCTAAATGGGTTTATAAGGCCGGATACCCGACTTAAGCCCAGAAGTCCTTGGCTCAAGGCCGAGAAGCTAGCAAAAGGAAACCCCACACGCCGGCCAAGAAACTGGAAAAAGCTCTGCATGCTCTGGAAGCTCCGTCAGGGAATCGTCAATGACGTAAGGAGTGAGGCCGCCAGGGCAGAAGGAGTAGGACAACAACCGCTCCTTAGAGAAACCCCAAAATGAGCGAAAAAGGGGGGGGGGGGCTACCCATAGGCTCCATAGTAGTTCCTTGTTGGGATTACCTTATAGAATCCCAAGTACAAACCCCCAAAAGGAACTACTATGGAGCCTATGCCCTCCATGGAGGCCCTACCGGAACTGCCTCATCTCATGCTGTTCTGTGCTGGGCTCTTGACCTTGACCTGGCTTCAACTAACGCAAGGAGGCCTCAGTCAGGCCCGTGGCATATCACTTGCCACGTTCGAAGTAGTGCATACTCACAGGCATGATCGAATCCAATCTATCGATATGTATATATATATATACATACACATCTATATATATATATATAGAGAGAGAGTATAAATTGACCATTGAATCCATACTTCCTTGCGAAGGACCTGCACTAATGATGCAGCCTTGGACAGTTCATGTGCGCTTTCGAGTCTCTACCATGGTCCAGCAGCGGCGGTCGAAGTCCGGGGTCCGCCACACCAGCACCTGCAGCTAAACGGAACCGAACGCTTTCATATAGACTATGTTATAGTAGACTGCATTATAGTATGCAACGATATTCTATAATATACCAGGATATAATGGCATATGTGCAGGATTCATTGTTTGGAATGGCTTGCCATGTACAAACAGACAGAAAGGCAAGTATATACTAATTTCTTATTCAAACAAGCCAAAATATCCCCATCCCCTTCCAACCAAAGCGGCAAAGAGGGAACCCCGGAGCCTTGGTACAAGCCGCAATGTACAATGGCAACGCGGCCATGGCCAAGTCGGCTCCGAAGAAGTCGTCCTGTCGAATTTCCGCATCCATGCTCAGAGTGGGTGTGGATTTGCGCTCTCACGCTCGGGCAAGCTAGAGGAGGTGGAGGTCTCTGACTCTGAGGGTGGACTGAAGGCTTTGGGGGAACGCGGGGGCATTTTTCCCCCGCTTCCCGACCGATTCCGGTGAAGGTCCTCGCCTCCCGATGCCCTCCGCTCCGATGCCAAGATGCACACCCTACCTTAACCCGAAATAACCTACGTTTTTAAGGACTTATATAAGGAAACCATAATAAGGAACCCAAAAAAAGGTAGGTGATTTGGGGTCCAGGCAAACCCTAAATCCTGGCCTGCTCGCAGCAGCAATAGTCAATCCAGAATGCGACCTCGCACCTGCGAGACTCGGTGGAGGTATGACTTGCAGGGGGTAGTAAGTCGAAAGCAGCCAGTAGCAACTGGAGTGAATGCTCTTTGTCGTCTTGTTGTTTTCGTGCTCTGCGCGGACTTATGCACTGAAGTCGGAAGCAAGGGCGCTGTACACCCGCAGCAGCCGCCATCCGCATAAACCACTTCGCAAAGGTCACGAGCTTGCGGGCCTCCAGGATTCTTGGAAATTTCGAGGTTCCGTGCAGGATAGGAGCGAGCAGCCTTTGCAAAGCAGCAAGACATCAGCAAACAGCAGAAGCGACGCCGTGCCCTAGAGCCCTGAACCCCGGAAGCGAAATGCACAGCTTGTCTTCACGACTCTTACGGGCAAGAAAGCCGTGGGCGGCCTTTGTAGTGGTGCTCAATGGTTGTGGATGCGACGGCTGGTGCTGCTACGGCCAGTCCCCTCCTCCCCTCCTCTTACAAGTATCTACTACGAACTAGAATGGGGGTCAATCCGACACGGTGTTGCCCTGCGCACATGCCCTGAGACTGTCCCAAACATACACCCATTGAAAAGCAAAACTCGATCCTCGACTCTTTGGCACGGAGGACAACGGCCACAAAGCGAACCCTCAGCACTCCTTGATGTTCTCTGCAGAGTCAGGGTGGCCGCGCTGTGACCCAGCTGTACGCAGCCAGCGGTGAGACAAGAGGAACACAACCTTGGTGTCCATGGCCAAAGATGCTAGTTCGCTCTCTTTGCACTGTCTACCTGTTGTTTCGGCCCTCCTGCCCTGCAAAAACGTTTAACACCCGACACCCGAGGCTTCCAGTCTTGCTAGACATTTGAATGGAGTTTTGGGGCCTATATTGCCCAAGTGGCGAGCTGACGTTCCGCAGCATCGCGAAAGACTCCCAGTCGGTCCTGGCTTGCAGGCTTGGCTTTCGGTTGCCAAAATTCCGGCGGTTTGTTGACATCAAACGGACCGAAAACCTGATGCAAAGTGAAGGCAAGGCAGTCTCCTCGACTTCGTCCAGGAGCTCCTCAACAGAGGTGGCGCCAGCTTCTGTGCCGTACTTCGGGAGCTGTCCAGCAGCTGCAATCCTGGACCAATGTATGAGCCTCAAAGGTGGCGTTTCCGGACACTCCAAAATCCACCAGGACTTCTTCTCCAAACCCGCATTCACGAAGTGTCGATTTGAGAGCAGTCTCTGCACGTGCTGGCGCACGCTGGCGATCCGAACGGCGTGGCTGACGCTGGTCCGGACCTGATAGACACCTTGTCTTGCCACCATGCTCAAGGTCGCAGGCAAATGAAGTAACACTCAGACCTTAATTTGCCTTCCGCGCTCGGGATCGGCACTTTCGCTGCGGCCACTATGTGTAGTATACTTCACCTCTGACAAGAAGAAGAAGAAGGAACTATGTTTTCAGCACAACCTAGGCTGTGCGGTAAAGCCACTCGTCAACGTAGCCTGGTCCAGGTTAGCACCATTCGCGGCGTCCACGAAAGAGGCCAGGCGCTTCGGCATCTGGTAGTGCAGATACCTGTGGTAGAACGGCAGAGACCTGGCAGGAAATACTGGAAATCTACAGAGGCTCCCCGAAACCCTGGCCCTAAACCCCCCTTCTATTGGAACCGCTGGTGCTATGTTTAGGCGGCGATCGGAATCACTTCTACGTAAACCTCGCCTTCTTTGGCTTGGTGGTGTCAACATGGTATGCTGAGATCTTATCTCTATATGGGTTGAGGAGTATAGAATTTCGACTCTCACGACGCGCATAAGGCAGGCAAGGCTCCACATCAGGATTCAGGATTTAGTGCATGGTTTAGGCTCGGATTTCAACTCCGAAGGACAGCCAAGCAAGACTTGAGGCCAGCGCCAGCCACCCAAATGTGCACGCGCCAAGGTATAGGCCTTGCCGCGCCCAGAAGTCATTCAGACGCATGTCAGGGCTCATTAACTGCGATGCAAACGTACCATAATATACCGGCTGTCTGACCAATACTGTAATCTCTTACGAGGGCCTTACTACTGCTCCATGATAGCAGGAACGAGGCTCTAGAAAGACTTGCAACCTCGGCATTCCCGGGTGATTCACGACAAACTGAGCTTATGCGTCAATGAACCCGTCAAACAGTCGCCCCTGCTGCAAATCGATAGCCAACGAGTGCTGTAGAATCTTTATGGATCTTCCCCAGCTGAGCCGGCAAGCCCCGCTGTCGATGCTGCGTAGCAAGGACTGCAGCTTTCGCAGCTTCCACGCCTCAAGAAGGATTCTGGCTCCCGTGCACAGAATCTGCAATGGACCAAAGTGTACATCAAAAATCATCCTTGCTATAAGGACACCGACATGCACAGCGTGCCCAAATCCGGCAATTCATGCCCCGGGGCGGCTGACTCACCAAGCTTCTGTCGAGCAGCTGTGCGGGTGGTCTTTGCCTGCGCCTGCACCTGCGCAGCTTCGAGGTTGCTTCGTCGTAAAGGTGCAAGCAGTCGGCTGAACAGACCATGACATCATAGGTCATGGCTGAGAACAGAGGGCACAGCGTCAGGATTGTCCACTGCCTGTCGATGTGCTATCTTTGATCTGGCTTGACGGCGGCAGACTCATGAAAACGTGGTTGTTGCAGCGCGCCCACACATTTTCGCACATGCACACATCTGTGCATTTTCGATGGCATACATGCAGACAGGTACACGATGCACACCTGCACGACGGGAGATAAACGACGTCGAACCTACATCGCAGAATAAGCAACAGCCAGCAGCAGGTCGTGAAAACATGACATTGGCGAATGTCTCCTGAGTTGCCAATCGTGTCTAAGGGCTCGTTTTGTCAAGCAACCGATATCGAATTACATCACACCAACGAAAGGGGTGACCAATTTGGATCTCTAGCTCTCGGCAACCCGGCCACCGAGCCAGCCTTGGACATGAACCCCTTATAGGCCCCAAACCCTAAAGTCCCTAAAAAGGGCGTTCGGACCATGCCTGCTGCAGCACGAAACGCGCCGCGTCCAGCCAAAGGTCGTCGTCGGAGTCGGTCAGAGGTCGGAGGAGCTCACCATCCTCCGTTCTCATATATTTATATATATATATATATAGAGAGAGAGAGAGAGAGAGAGAGAGAGAGAGAGGGAGAGAGGGATGGTGTGGCACAATGATATTTCGTGAGCTAATCATGCGTGTAATGCATAATTGTGGACGTCAAGCTTTATTGCCACGGCTCTTACCATAATCAATAATGGTAGTACTGCGGGTCACTACGGCAATGAAGGCAGGTATCATGGTCGTCAATATACTATATGATTAGAATGTATAGTTACTACTGCTATCCCACATGCCATGACTAGTGCTATTGCTTTTCTCTTTTCGTTGCCTCTACGATTACATACGATTACCATGTTCCTGTTGCTGCTGCTGATACTGTTGCCGTGATCATTGGTGCACTGGCATCCTTTGTTGCGGTCGTAACAATGGTGCTAGTGGTGGCGGCAGCGGTAGTAGCAGTGCCAGTAGTAATGAAAGTATATTAATAGTTCGTATTCTTCCCACGCTTACCACTATTCCTTTTCAACGTATGATGCAGAATGCAGCCGGCGGCTGGGCGGTTTGGGTTGTAAAGAAGTCTCCAGTAGGCTGCTCGCTTGGCTAATTTCCGTTCCTCCGGGTTCGCTCCGTTTGCAGGCGACATGTTCATCTCGGAGCAGGACTTGTTTAGATCTGGCAGGACCCCTTTCGTTCGTACAGCTGCAAACAGCGAAAGTTCGTTTAATCGAGGGCAGGGTCTGTTCAGGATGCATAGCTGGTTCGTCAACCTGAGAGGTTTCACATGTACCTGCACATGCAGTATTGGAGGCATAACCGGTGACCCCACTAGTTCTGGTTGCTCTTTGGGGGGGAGTTGGGCCCGAAATGCAGCCAGGCATCTCCACCAGGCAAAAACCGACGATTGAAGTTGTAGCCTTGGGTTGCAGTTTCTTCCGGGCAAAATGAGCTCGGGATGTAGGTCGCCTACCTGTTGATATGATGAGACACGACCGTTGCCTGTGCTGCCAACTCGTTTACCCTGGCCTGGCGGTACACATGCTGGACCAACGCAGCAGGAGACCAAATGATCCAACTGCCGGGTAGCGTTCCAACTTCTCCAGTGTCTTCCTCTTGCTGATTCTCACACATTGACGGCGCATCCACCAGACCTTACACTGCCATCACTGCTTCCACAGGATGCCAGTAGCCCTACTTCTGTGCTCCATATCTCTGCCTTATTCGGAGGCCTTTTGTTCTAGTCACAATGCGTCTTCGAAATTTTGCCTTGATGACCGAAAATTAAGCTGCGAGCGCAGCAGCAGACGAACAAGAAGAAGGCACTCTAACGACAAAACAACATCGAACAACACAGCCATACTGACGAGGAGTCATCACTCGCCTCAAGAGTGACTCACTCGCAGCCGTCTACGAACCCGCAACTCTCAAGCCCAATCCCTGCAATGCAATGCAGCTATAAACCCTAGGCCCGAGATCCTCCTGGTCTGAAACAGAGAACACACGAATAGCAAAGGAGCGCTAGCAGCCAGCGCAACCGTCGAAAGGATGATGATGACGCCTGCTCGACCGCTGAAGGTACGAGGATACGTCTCTGTGTGATTGTGTGTGTGTGTGTGCTCTGTGTGTGTGTGTGTTTGTTTGCACGTGCAAACACCTACATATATGTCTCTCTGCTTGTGTAGGTATGGACATATGTACACACACAGAGATGCACATACAAACGCACACATATGTGTGTATGTGTATGCATATATACTTCTACCTGTTTACTTATTTACCAATATGCATACATACCGCTATAATATGTTTAAGAGTTTGAACGCCTGTATAAGCCAAGCAAAACCAAGCCCAGCCAAGCCGGTTGAAAATCAGATATCTGGAGACCATGATCTATCAGAACGATGTTTGTAACGAAAGCTCCTGCATAAAGGAGAACCTTATGCAAAGAGAACCGCTGTCTAATCGAAGACCCTGTGTAGAAGCAGACCGTGTCTAACAGCGAACACTGTGTAAGAGAAGACTCTGGCTGGTCTAATCAGATCGGCGGAACATGCATAAAATACGGCGCTGTTTATATATACATATATACACACACACACACATATATATATATGTATACATATATATATATATGCATATGTGTATACGTAGGTCTGGTCTGTGGGAATGTAGGTATCTATGAATGTATCTACGTACGCAAGGGCGCGTATACCACCAAATGAATGTCTACATCTGCATCTACAAGCATGAACATGTATATCTATGTGCCTAGATATGTGCAAGCATGTGCGTATATATGCATGTTGACACTGGTCAGGAAGCATGTTTAAATATGTGTGGGTGTGTGTGCGCCAGGTTCACCCAGCGTGTCCATCTCGTTTGCGTACATATTCATACTTCAGATACTTGATAGAGTCTTCTCGAAAATTCAAGCGCCTCCTGCGAAAATCCCAAGAGAGCTAATGCCAGAAGCCTATGGTGAATAGGCTATGAGGACATGTGCTGAAGGCGTGGTTATGCCTAAAGTGTGCTTACGCTAATCGAGCTGCTACACTATAGAGGCGAAACCACCATGATGCGCAATGTCAATACAAATGAAGCGAGAATACAATCAAGAATGCAGAGGCCTGGTGATATTCACAAGAAAGTACAGCATAACAATGTGGCACCAAGCATGGTGGAACGTAAGTTCAGCATGCCAAAAGAAAACAAAAGGCTTCACATGCTTGCTACTGGTGGATGCATTCTTCCGGATCTTCTGCTCGGCAGCCTATGGCGGAGTTGGTGATGGTGTCCTCAACCACTGTCTCGCGGGCTTCAAGGCCCAGAAGCGTCGTCAGCCCATTGGAGTCACATCCTTGACGACAACAGGAAAGCTGAGTTATGGGTTTCGACTCACACACTCGCACAAGGCTGGCATGGCTGATGAAGGTCCGCGCTTGCTGTTGTGGGTTTAGGGTTTAGGGTATTGATACATGGTTAGGTTATACATTGATGACAAGAGAAAAGGGTTTAGGGTTTGGGGGTTAGGGTATATTTATACATTGATGACAAGATGCTGCCATAACATTAATTACCAAGGCCCCTGTAGTGGCCCAAACCTGCCCTTGGCGGCTGGAATGTGTGACGAGGTTCTTATAGACCGACGATCCCTCGCTCGTATACAGAAGATGAGGTTGTGGGGCCTGCGTTTGTGCGCACCACGATTTTGAGAAGATTGTCTGCTCCTGGTCTGTTTCAGCTCTCCAAAAAAAGTCCTGTTATGAAGTGGCCACACACAGCGGAAGGGAGCAGGGGTCTTGGGACTGGGGCTTCTTTTCATACTCGGGGGGTACCTGGATACCAGAGTGCCCCCGTTCTTGCAAACTCTCACTCCCCTTGCAGCTCAACAAGTTACTTGCACAACGAGCAACCCGTCTTAGCGACACCGAATATAGCTTGGCGTACCTTTTTGCATCCGGGCCTCTGTGCAGTCTTGCGGCGAAGGAAGTATGCAAGCCCTCATTGCTACGCAACAGCTTGCGTCCCGGTCATCTTTGCATGGAGGCAAGCCTTTTAAAAACCTTACTCTCTGTAACCCCTGACACACTGCAGTCCCCAAAAAGTGAAACCCGAACCCGAAAGCCCACAATTCTAGGAGCCCTGGTCCCCGAAACCTGGGGACCCTTGAAACCCGCAGGCTGCGGGCCAAGGCACCCCAATAGAACTCCCACCACTGGCGTTCATCCGGGCAGGGATCACCAGAAGGGGAGCACGCAGATATCCAGGGAAAGCTCGACAGGCAGCCTTTCTGGCATTTAGGGTTTAGGGTTCAGGGTGTAGGGTGCTTCAGGTATTGAAAGGGATGGGGTTCAGGTGATCCGGTGCTTGGGTTCAGGGAATTTGGAGCTTGGGATGCGTGTAGCACAAAGCCCTCCCAGCTTTCCCCTCTTCCGTCATGCAAATCCGAGGGCTACAGCAGCAGGCCGAGGTTTGAGGACTGTCTATCCCAATCATATCATGAAGGGTCAGAAAAAGAAGTAACATATGGCCTGTTCAAAACTTGACCCCTGCAAGGGGCAGGGGTACGGCTTAGGGTTATGATCCCGGCAACGATATAGGAGCACTGCCAGTACGAACCAGGGAATGCGCAGCAGCGGTATCCTGAGTTTTCGGGGCAGGCTTGCAGGCTTTCGTGGCTTGTGTAGATTTTGGGCCTCGTGTCCACTCGGAAGCTTCGGGGAGCAGTGAGGCAGGGGCCGTGAATCAGGCTTGGTTGCCTGTTGTCTGTCGAGTGCCTAGCCATGACTGAACGAGCTTTAACTTTGGCTTTTCCGTGCCTTGGACCTTCTTTTCTTCCTGCCGTGAGACGACTGAACCAAGTGGACACATCGTGCCGAGGGTCCAACGGCAGCCGGGAAATGCAGCGAACACCCTGGGCAGGGATGTGGACTGGAGTCAGTGTATGCACTGCGTGTAACTATGCGTACTTGAACCCTTGGAGCCGGTATTTTGCTGTTCTCTCCGCCATCACACGGACGATCGCCAAATTGGACTGGATGTGCAGACATGCTGGACATCTTCTTGTACACTCAGACCTTGATAGAACTATGTCTTTTTGTGCATGTAGACTTTATGGTAAACATAGCATATGAACGGAAGCTTCATCATGAAAATGTATGTATGTATGTATGTATGTATGTATGTATGTATGTATGTATGTATGCATTGTCTTGTCTTGTCTTGTCTTGTCTTGTCTTGTAGTGTAGTGTAGTGTAGTGTATTGTATGTATTGTATGTATGGTATGTATGGTATGTATGGTATGTATGGAAATGTAATGTAATGTGATGTAATGTAATGTAATGCAAGTCAATGCAATGTAATGTAATGTCAGGGTGGGTGCAAACCCCACCTATTTGCTTGACCGTTAACATGGTTCTCGTCTTATTTTACTCTTATCGTTTTACAGGACTTTGGCACGGTATGATCTAAGCTAGTGTTACGAACATCCGTTACCGTTCTTTTTTACTCTTATCGTTTTACAAGCCTTTCG